GCCTGCCTTGAAAGGGCAAGGTCCTGAGTTCGATCCTCAGTACCAAAAACACAAGGAAAGAAAGAAAAAAAAATTTTTTTGGTACAGGGTATCGAACTCAGGACCTTGCACTTTTGAGGCAGGCAGTGGAACCACTGAACTAAATCCCTGGCCCAAAATTTCTTTTCTTCTGTTGATGCACAGCTATAAGAGCTGAGGAAACTAGGGGAGAGATGCAGCCAGAGCTGCCCTGACTCCCCAGTCACCCAGGAATGCCGGGACGTCAACCTGAGTCCAGCTTTGAGGGAGCATTGGAATGCTCCCCTGGCCCCAGAGCTGGGCTCCCCAACCCCAGGTCCTCCACCCCCTTCCTTCTCACTTAGAGCCATTCCCACCACCACCCTCCCGCCTTAGTTCTGCTTTCCAGGAAAAAAAACACTGTTTCTGTTGGATCCAAAAGGCACCAGGAGAGGAATCCAAAGAGCTGTTGGACCGGCTGAAGGGCAGGGAAATGACAGAGGGAAGGTAGGAATGTGCTTGGGGGTAGCAGTACCCAGCCCACTCCTCTCGCTGAGACCCCGGGACTTGGGGATTTGAGGGAGGGGTCAAAGTGGCTGAGCGGGGGTGGGCAGTGTGAGCCCCTCAGCTGCTTGGGTCGGGTGGCCTCCCCTTCCCCTGCCTGGGCAGCGAGGTCGCAGCTCGGCCCTGACAGGAGGAACGGGAGGAGGAGGTGCGGAAACCTGGAGAAGGACCCATTCCCCCCTCAACCCTCTGCCAGTTACTCGAGGCTGGAGGGAAGGCGGGCAGGGTGACGGCCCCTGCTGCCCTTCCCTGCTGCTGGTCTCGACTTCCCGGCCCTCGACCCGGTGTCTCTCGCGTGGTCCACCCCAGTACACATAATCCCGTCCTGAGCTGGCCTTGGCTTTGGCAGCTCCCTGGAGAAGTGAGGGGTGGGGGTGACGTGAGCTCCGGGCCCGGGCCAGGCCTGGCTCCCTCTCTGGAAAAGTCCCTCCCCACCCTCCCGTGCACAGCTGGGCAGGGGCCAATGCCCCCCTTTGCGGAAACAGACATATCTGGTTTTCACCCCTTCCCGCGTCCCTCATCTGGGTGCTGCTGCTGCTGCCCAGGGTGAGGAAAGTGCAGGTCAGAAGTCACTGGAGCCAGGCTGGCCCCTGGGCAGGACGAACATGGGCTCGTCCTGGCCACAGTCCCCTCGGTGGCCAGTGAAGGTCCAGAGAGGGACCTGCGCAGAGCTGGCCTTGTTCCCGCCCGGGACGGTCACTGCCGGCCGAGGGGCTGGACGAGTGGCTCAGGGCTGCGAGGGAGTCCCGTCGCGGGTCGGCACTGCGCGGTCCTCACGCTCCCTCCCTGCCTGGCGTCTCCGCGGTCAGCCCGGCCTCCCAGCGGCCCCGGCCTCGCTGCAATCGGGGGTTGGACGCGTCCTCCGCGGCACCCTGAGAGGCCCGGCAGGGACCCGCGCTACCGGGAGGCCGCCGAGGCTTAGGTAGCTGTGAGCGCCTTTCCCGACCGGGAGTTGGGGCCGGGGCGCCGGGGCTGAGCCCCTTCCAGGATTCGACCCCGGGGCCTCCGAGCTGGGGCCAGAGTCCGGCGGAGGCAGCCGGCAGCCTGGGGAGCGGAGGTGGTGCGGTCGGGGTCGGGCTGGGGTCGGGCTGGGGCTCTACCTGCTCCGTGCGCCCCCGGCGGCTGGCGCTGGGCTCGAGCTGGCTGCTGCCTGGCTTGCGGCCGCCACTCCAGCCCCAGAGCGGCCCCGGTCCCGCCCTCCCAGACCCCGCCCACACCGCCCGGCCCCGCCCCCGACCGCCACGCGCCCCCGGCCGCCGGGAGGGGGTGGCGACTCGCACCGAGCGCCGGGTCACCCAACCTGCTGCGGGCGCCCCCCGACGGCCCGAGCGGGAGAAGCCGAGGCGGCCCAGCCTGCTCAGGCTCCCTCCAGGTCATCTCGGCCTCTGCCTTGGGCGGCAGGGAACCGTGCAGTTTGTTCTGTTTTTTGTTTTCCGCGGTGGAGTACTGGGGATTGAACCCAAGGCCTTTGCACGGAGCTGCATCTCCAGCCCTATTTATTTGTTGAGACAGTGTCTAAATTAGTCTGCGCTCGAACTTGGCCATCTTCCTGCCTCAGCCTCCCGGAGTGCTGGGATGACAGGCGTGTGCCACCTCGCCGGCACCATGTGGCTCTGATTGCTAGGGGCCTCTGGGAGCCTCGGTTTCTTCATCCATAAAATTTTACACTCTGGGGCATAGCGAAAGGAACGCGTGCCGATTCATGCGTCAGGGTGTTGGGGTGAGCCTCGGCCGCGCCTGCCAGCTCCGTGCTCCGTGAGAAGCGCAGCCTCTGTGACGTGCGCTTGGAGACCACGGCTCTGTCTCCGTTTGTCTGGAGGACTGCTGTGGGAAGGAGTGTAGGGTTGGGGAGGGGTGGAAAAGGCTATGGATTTGGGGAGGGTGTTTTTGAGAAAGGGTCTCACTCTAATTCAGGCTGGCCTTGAACTCACTGTGTAGCCCAGGCTGGCCTTGAACTGATGACTATCCTCCTGCTTCAGTCTCCCTGACTGCTGGGATCACAGGTGTCCACTATCACGTTTGGCAACAAACAACTTTTAAAATGTAAGAATTGGTGCTCACTTCAGCAGCACATATGTTAAGATTAGAATACTAAAAATATTGGCATGGGCCCTCCCCAAGGATGACTTACAAATTGGTGAAACATTCCATGTTAAAAATAAAAAGAAGTGGGCATGGTGACATACTGTAATTCCAGCACTCTGGGAGACTGAGGCAGGAGAACTGCAAATTCAAACCCAGCGTGGGCAGTTCATAGGCTTAACAAGGCTGTGTCAAAATGAAAAATGTAGGGGTGGGGATTTAGCTCAGTGGTTTCACTGCCTGCTTGCGCAGGCTCAAGGACCCAAGTTCGATTCCCGGTCCGCCCCCCCCAAAAAATAGAAAAGAAAAATAAAAATCTAGAAAGGGCTAAGGATCTAGCTCAGTGCAAAGGCCCCCATACAGACAAAAAGAAAAAGAGGAAAACTAAGGACTGTGTCCTCATTTGAAAATTAATTTGCCTATTGTTTTCCAGGCTAAACCAAGTTCTTTCAGGAGAAAAACTATTTATGCTACTTGGTATCATCTATATTTTTTCATATTTTGTGTTTGTTTTGTAGTTACAAGAAACATGTGAAGTGGGCTGTCACAGCGGGCAGATGAGTCCCAGGTGCCTGCCCGCTCCCTCCACTTTCCATTCAAGCTGCGAGGCTTTGTGTTTTTATTTGTCAAGAGAAGTTATCAAATACTTTGGTTTAAAAATACTGGCAGCCTAGGGCTGGGGTGTGGTGCTTGCCTGGCCTATGAGTTCTATCCCCAGCACTGCCCCCCCAAAAGAAACAAAGAAAAATACTGACGAGTCCGAAAAACCCCTTGAAAATACAAAGCACTTCAGAAAACGTGGCCATGGGTCAGACTCACCCATAGGCCTCCGCAGTCCCTGTCCTTAACCCTCCTCCCACCCCAGTCGTTGGGTCCTAAAGAGCTTGGGAAGACCTGAGGTTTAAACCGCCTCCAGGGTGAGGTTTACCGGGGCTCCTGGCACTCACAGCCCCAGCCTCTGGCTCCCTCATGGTGCTGGACTCCCGGGAAGACCCTTGTGGGCCTCAGCGCAGTGCGCACCGTGAACCACCAGCCACGAAGGTATTTGGGGCTGGCGGCTTTCAGTGCTCCCCATTACTGCCCAGCACCCACTTATCTACAAGCCGAGCTGCAGTATGGGAGGCAGGGACCCTGACAGGAGAGTGGAACAAGGGGAGGAGGGAAGAGCTCTGCCTTGACATTTGTCACTGCTGAGAACAGAGGGTCAGAAATAGTCCTTTCCTTTTAGCCATGGCCACGGACCAAAGAGCTCCCGAGATGCACTGCAGCTATTGCTCCCTGGCTTGGTGGTCTAACGTGTTCCCTAAAGAAAATTTCCTGTGCCCTCGCAGCTTGTGAAGTACCTGATTAAGTGTGTGGCCCCTGATTCAAGGAGTAAAAGAAGTTGTTTGCTTTAAAGATTATGTAGCTGGGCCGGGCGTGGTGGTTCATGCCTGTGATCCCAGCACTGGGAGGCTGAGGCAGGAGCGCTGCAAATTTGAGGCCACCCTTTGT